GGTCGTGAAGTTCACTCAGCACCTAACTGGACATGCGTAGCGGTTAGCCACCTACACAAAGGACAAGTATCACAAAACAAAACGCCCGGAACAACCCACTACTAAAATCTTAATTTACGCCAGCCCTTCTCACAAAATGTTTCGATTATATCGCGGAGACTAGTCGTCAGAACCTTGGTACTTTTAAAAGTGGAGAATATTATGTGGAGCTCAGGTCGTCATAGATGGCTTTCGGCTACGACAATTGAGCCAGCTATGGAGGAAAATCGTTATTTATTGAGTAACACAGGCAAGAAAACAAAACAAATAATTCCAAGTGTCAAGGTTGTTAGAGTGTTGGGTTGAATAATTCTCGGAATAAGTGGGTCGCGTTTCATTTGACATCATCGACATAAGCAAACAGCCTGGCGACTGCTGTGTACAATCCTTTCCTTGGAACTTATTGAACTGATGATATTGCAATTTTTTGTAATGTTATTTATTCATTTTAATGTAAAACTTATAAATCATATACAGACCACATTAAATTTTAATAATACAGTGTTCATCACAATATGCTGGGATTTTGGAAGCTCTTTGTAGTAAATGTAGCGATCTGAAAATAATTCAGCAGTACACAGCAAAGTGGTTCTCTCGAAGTTTTGTTACAATGACATAAGTTCAATGTGTACTTGTAACTGTGTGTGTGTGTCAAGATGGAAATCTGGCTTTTTCAGTATAGATTAATCTATTCTGGAGCGATAAATGCGACTGATTCTGGCCTTCGTTTCATGCACATTGACCTATTTTTTGAAGAGCTTACTAGAATTCATTTATTTATATATTTACTACGAATTTATTCACGTTTTATTCAATGATGCTGTTTGTAGTCTAGTCTAACGTCAAATGGTAGGGTAATTAAACAATAATAAATTGGAAAGATTATGGGAGGAAGTGAACTGCGCCTAATTTGAGGTACTATCCCGAGATCAACCCAGAGATGCTGAGGAAAACCTCTAAAAATCTCAGTCAGGGCAGCCGGTCTCCAGGCCGAGATTTGAACCAAGAATCTCCCGAATGCGAAGCAGGAGTACTACCCACTGTACCCACTTGACTGCAACATTTGGTCATGAATATATACGTAGTCCTTGAACGAACCCGAAAAGTGGAGATGGTTTGTGATTGACACTGATTGACTATTTGTGGGAGACAGCTCTAGATGTTGGCCTCACTGTATCATCTGATAACATGTAGGACTGAAAAAGAAGAAAGTAGAGGAAGATAATATTATGAAAGTTAATACAACAAATGGGTGCCTTCCCATTGAATCGTCAAATGGTGTTTCTCTAGTTTAAAAATAAAATTGTGTGATAAATCCGTCCATGTCTTAGTACCCTGTGTTTTTAAAAAACTGTAAAAATAATTTATATGTTTCTGATATTTAAACTAAGCAGCTATCAAGTTAATCCCAGGATGATAGAAGTCGTTGTGTACATCTACAACTCTCCCTCGTCTTCTTTCTTCCTCCTTGAATGGTAACCATGGCAACATACAAAGAAGAATAAACAACATGGCGTCCTTGTCTATTCCCTGAGGGGCGAATAATGTGCCGTATGAAGAAATGTACGAGATTTTGGAAATTAACTAAAGTGCAAAGTTATATAGCAGAGCTGAAATTTCTTTCCACATATCACTTTTCAGGTAAATGCAGACCTAGTCCATTTCAGATTTCAGTAATATAAGTTACCGGGAAATATATGGCATAATTGTATATCTGTTAAATGGAAGGAAAATGATATTTCAGTATTACTATAGAACCATTATTTAATTGTCACTTATTGATGTAAACATCTATCTTTATCCAATCTTGTTCTAGCTTAGAAAGATAGGATGAGGTGGTATGGACTGGAATGATCTGGCTCAGGATTGGGACCAGTGAAGGGTTCTTGTGAACATGGTAATAAACATTCAGATTCCATAAAGTTTTGGGAATTTCTCCAGTAGCTGCCTGACTGGTGGCTTCTCAGGAAGGGCTCAGCTCCATGAAGTTAGTTATATATTTTGGATATGCTTGTTACTCTTCAGCTGGGAAACTGTTATCAACCTGTCTATTTTTTAAAACACTGAAGATCAGTGTATATAAGGCAGTTTTGCTCATTGTGTTTTGATGTTGTAACACATGATCTCAAATCATGCAATTACAATTTGGAGACACATTCCAAGGGTTTTATAGTCTATATTGGGTTATAATAGGAATCTGTGAACATACTCTAATAATCTGCAGATCAAGTGTTAGAATCAGACCTGGACTACCTCATCTCTAAACATTCTTCTTCAACTAAGGAGCTTGTGTTTTCTTTTCCAGGCAAGCATAGAAGAAATTTCAATCATTGATATCTGAAGAAAGAAATTTGCAATTATGGTAAGAAGAAAAGAGAAGATAATTCCATCAAAATTAAACATATCAAAGAACCTAGGCTATGCATGCATATTTTATTTTATTTCATTTTATTTTATAATATTTATTTTTCTATGTGGGAGCACATGGTAGCATAGTTGCTACAAGCCTGAAGGTCGTGGGTTCAAGTCCGATGAGGTGGATGTGTTCAATTTACCTAATCCTTCCAGCCACACCATGTTCCTGGGATCAACTCAACCCCTAACAGAGAGTTTCAGCAATCTACCTGGAGGTAAAGGGCGGCTGTCGCATAAGGCTGATAACTTTACAGCCATCTGTGAGCCGATTGTCTAGAGAAAATATGGGCGCCTCAGCATCTCACAAACCTATTGGCCTTCACATCCTGTTACAGGGAGATATATCTTTTATTTATTTATTTATTTACTCATATTTACATGTGAAGGATGACACCGTGTTTTACTTGGCTGATTTGTTTAAATTTAAGAGAAACTCATATTCGGTTTTTGGACTGAAGCTACTAAGAGCAAACCTACTCACCCAGAGGGCTGTAGGAAATTCTCATGTTCTGAGAACTAGATTTGCTATCATGCAGTTCATCCCAATTCAGAACACTGGCAAATCAACCAATTGTAATACACCCACTGCCAAAAAAATTAATTCTTATCTCATATTGTAGGATTTAAGGTTCTCACAGCAGTGGTTACAAAGAGTACTAGCTTCTGGGATATAGCGCCGTGTAATCCATTGAAAGTCAACCAACATTTCAAGGTCAAATAAACCAAGCAAGATCTGATGTGAAAGCAAGTGGAAAGCAGAGTGTAGTATTTATGAAGTTCTTGTATGTGTGTTAATTCGCCTATTATCTATCACTTGCATTTCAGGGATATTCATTTGTTTCCTTTTAGATTTCAATTAAGGTAAGATTCAAAATAGGCAATCAAGAGACAAGGCTTGAGAAGAGAAAGAAAAGCCATACTACCATAATACGCATATTCAGCTTTTAATACCTTTTGTGAAGGAAATGCCATTCACTGCTGACACAAAACATTTGCCCCATTGCAGACTGAATCGATGCTATTAACTTTGAAAGGCTAAAGCCCAGACCTTGTTATCAGCTAGTATATATTTACTAGCAAACAGCTAATGTGTACCAGCAAATTCATTGAGAGCCAAAAATTGTGCGTCTGCCAGTGTGGTTGAAACCACACAGGAGAGTACAAGCAAACATGTTTGTAGACCAAATGGCTGATAAAGCCATATATAATAATAAACACATTATCTGCCACTGGGTTTGGATGTTTCAGAATGCGCTGCTGTAATACAGGAAGTAGAATAGTGTAAGTTATAAGTGTATAAGCCCATTTGTATTTGTATTTGTTTTTGTATTTATTTAAGTTCAAGAGATCCAAAGATGGATATAGAACATGTCATAAAATAATATAGAGCATAGAATACATACATAGTTATTACACAACTACACAGTACAATGAATACAACAATAATAAAAGTTATCTATTTAGATATTCATCCACAGTATAAAATGTATAAGTGTTCAAGAAATGCTTTAATTCAACCTTAAACTTTTTAAAATTATTAGATGTGTTCTTGATTTCTATGGGTAATTTATTAAATATTTTTATACCCGCATAATACACTCCTTTTTGATAAGTAGTTAAAGTAGCTTGAGGTGGATACAAATCTTGTCTTTGTCTAGTATCAATAGTAAGAGAATCAATGTCTGATGGGAAAAGAACTTTTTCTGCAATACAAATACTAACAACGAAAATATATATTGTGATGCAAATGATAAAATATTTAACTCTTTAAATATGTTTCAACACGAAACTCTATTGCCATATCCCAACATCGCTCTAATAGCCTTTTTTTTTTTGAGAAGAAAAATAGTAAACTATGAGATGAGTTTCCCCAAAAGATGATACCATAGCTCATTAAGGAGCGAAAACATATGCCAGTTTTTATTGTGAGAATTGTAAGAAACCCGCAGATATACTCTGTGGGCAGAATGCAGAGTTTAAGTATGTTAAAGCAGCTGGTACATATATATAACCAATGGTCTTTAAAGGGTTGAGATGATGTCCAGTAGTGGAATTTGTTATTAACAGTTATGAACATTTTTGTTTTATTAGCTTTTATTTGTTATGTCAATTTGTCAGTTGGTCAGTCAGTCAGCTAGCCAATCAGTCATTTATTTTAGTTTAGGCTACTTTGGTTTGATTTAGTTTGGTTTATTTTTAAGTTTGTTATAATTAAAAGATTAGGCCACAAATGTCAGATATGACTGATAAAATATGCTATATCATTTCAGAGTAGAAGCAGACATTTGCTCCAAATTAAAGCAGACAGTCACCCAAGAAGATCTGATTCATTTTCAATTGCTGTGAAAGCTTCAAGTCTTATATAAACATGACATACCTTCCCCTTTGGTTTACACTTTGAGTATGCAGTAGTGAAGTGCTGAATACAGACTCCTTCCTCACTCCAACCCAAGTTAAAGTTTGGCTAGACCAGATAACGTGATGCAATATATTGTTTGTTCTAACTGTAATTTGACAGTTTTATTTGCTGTGATTCTGTCCTTTAGGTCCCAAAGAAGAAACTTTCAAAGAAGGAAAAATTACGGCTGGCAGCAGAGCAAGCAGAGTTGCAGAGGATTGAACAGGATAAGGAGCGGTAGTTACTGCAGCCACATTGGGAGTGTTGCATGATTATCTCCCATACAGATGATTTATTTAGCATATTCTTTTCTAATTCAAAAAGGACTGTGGGGTTTGAACTATTTTTATGCTTTTCCACAAGAATGTACTTCAACGAAGAATTTTCAACATATTGGCCATTTACTGAGAAATTTCTATGACTAATGGAGGTCAGCTACCATTTGCTTTAGAGGTATTGGAGGTGGGAATCTGTTCCTCATTCTATGTCTCTAAAACTGACCAGATTGCTTCAACGGTATTCAAATGTGAGGATTATGCTGGCCAAGAAAGATGCTGAAGTTCATCTTCATGCTCTTGAAACCATCAGTGAACAGTTCAACCTGTGTGAATTGGGGTATTGTCATCTTGGAAAAGTGCATTGATTTTGGAAATAACGTCTGGATCATGAGAAGCACCTGATTATCCAATCTGTCCATGTACTCCCTTGCAGTAATTTCAAGCAGTTTCAAGAACCAATTTAAATAAATATTTGTCATGAATTTGACCATAGCTCATGATGACAGATTATTCTTGGCATGTCCATTTACTGTCAGAATTAGTATTACCTGCAACCAGCACATTTCATGCTCTGTCACTTCACTATGTTGTCATAGTCTCATATAGCACCACATTGATTTGACTGCATAGAAAAATATCGCAGGATGTTCAACTGTTCTGCATGTAATCGTTGCTCAGGTGTTTTCTTAGAACTGATACTTCTTTGCTAAACTTTTGTATTCGATTTTTAATAAAAAAACTTTCTTGTAATTGTTATATTTACTTTGTTATAGTTGATTCTTATGCACAGCATTGTTCAATTTATCAAGTAGCAACTTTTATCTCACAAGTTGGAAGTTTTCTGTTTTCTCTATTAAAACTAGATGTCGAAAGATGTTTCATCATTGGTAAAACCTGTAAAACTTTTGTATAAATAAAGTAGAGTATTGTTAAAAATGTTTTGAGATTTAACAGCTAAAACCAAAAATACAGCAAGAATTCTTATTGATGAACTATAAGGCAATTAGAATGAACTATTTCTAGATTTCTGAAAATATTGTGTGATATCTTTTAACATAGCTGTTTTATTTTTTAAGACAGCGATTGATTCAAGAGGAGAAAGCTCGAGTGGAGAGAGAAAAAGTTGCAGCTGAAGAGAAAGCAAAGCGGGATGTAGCTGAGCAGGCCGTGAGGGTGGTTCAGTTGCAAGAAACAGTTGCACTGTTTAGAGAACTTTCTGAAAAGATGTATAAAATGAAGCTTGAAAAACAGGCTAATAATGAGGTACTTATAATTACACTTTTATAAATAAGAAGGGACTTGTGTGAATGGGTTGCTGGAAACTAGATTTGTAGGTGTTTTTTCATTTTCCTGCAATATTACTTAATTATTTTTAGGACTTTCTTTATATAAAATAAAAGTATAAAAACAAGTTCCTAGAGACTTATGTAGGGACTATAGGATGAAATGGGTTACGACTATTTCAGCATTAACATAATAACCTCCCTCATACCTGTTGGATTGAAGGTCAGGCGGATCCCAGGGCCAGAGCAGATCATGTGGAGTAGAGAATAATCTCATGCCCCTGCCAGGAATTGAATTCCTACTCTGGATTACCAGTCTGTAGTCAGTCCCTATACTGACTGAGTTGTCATGGTTCCAATGAAGATGCCCACTCAAGAACTAATAAAAATATGATACCTGGATTTTAAATAGAAAATTGAAAGATTGTAAAAGGCTGAAAATCACATGAAGATTAGGTTCTATACAGTTTCTCTCATGAAACTGACACACCCTATTCCAAACATTCCGAATAAAAGGTTGATTACTGTACAGTAACAAAAGTTCCAAACAAAACTCATGAACCCTGATTATCCATTTCTAACACAAAACATATTATGGTTATATTTCTTATTTGGTCTTAATTCTTTGAATAACTTACTAAGTGCAGTTTCTGTGTATGTAAAATTTGCTGATTATAACCATTTTACCCTATTGTCATTTTTGCACTTATCAACTTATAAGCAACATCTAATATACAAGTGCCACGAACTTCATATACCTATTTTCAGTGCTTCATTGGTTGTCACCAGTACACCACATGCTAAAGAAAAATTTTACCTGGTCATCATATTGATATTTTACATTCTATAAATAAAAATGAATTACCCAAATAAGGGTTATATATATTGTGAAACTCTATTTCTCTATTATTATTTCAAGATCCTAATTAAGGTCCATTGTTTATGCTGACCGTCTTACAGTGTATAAACTTTTTCACCTTATTCTTCACTTCCACACTACGTGTTTCAGCACTAATGTGCCATCTTCAGGTGTCTTTATGCACGTTAAACTATTGTACTGCATGGCATAATGTCTTCATTCTAAAATGACTAAAATCTGTATTCATCATATAGGATGATGAATTCTAAATAATAAAACTTTTCAGGATTCTTCCTACATTGCCCTCAAATATGCGAATTATGCCAATCCTCTTTTATGTGAGCATTCTTCCTACATATATTTGTGTATCGTGTTCTGTGTTGTGCTTTGCTCCTGCAGTACAACACATGCGCACACACATGCACATGTGTTCACACATTCACACCTTCATAATTTCATAAGTACTGATCTTCCTTAAGAAAGAACAATAGTCTGTGGAGGTTATCCTAGGTGATGATCACTGTTATGGATTACTTGAAGAAAAATAAAATGAATGAATGAATGAATGAATGAGAGATGTTTTGTCTGGCTGATGACATATGTAACTTGAAATGCATATTTTGTTCAAGTGGAAGCAGTATATGAAATGTGATGGCTTGCCTGATCCAGCATCTTTAAGTGAGATGAATACATATATCTACCTATGGAGATCTGTTGAAGAGAGAGGTCAACTGGATGTTGTTGTAAAGAAGACAGCTGAGGTTCTTAGGGTAGGTTAAAAGATTTTCATCATTGAGCCTCTGAAGGTCAGTTTCAGAAGATGTAAATAATGCCATATGTCTTTTGTTTTAATTCCCAAATTAAAATATAACTATGAACCCCACCTACAATACATGACAAATAACATAGATTTTTTTTATTATAATGATCAGAGAACTTTTAAAGATTTAAAATCCCCTTATGAAAAAAGAACAGTAATGATTGTGTTATAATAATTTTTAAGTGTTAAGTGTTATAATAATTCAAATGATTAACACTATATGGATCCATATTAGGTTATTTCATTAATGTGACAAATATTTAATTTAACAGCCTGAGAATGGCCCAAAACATGTACTAAGACATATAGCAGTTATTAAACAAAACCAATGTAAACAATTTGATCGTTTTATTTTAAAATATTTGTTGTGTTGACAACCACAATATCACAAAACACCTATTCATAACCCAAAAGACCTCAATCTAAAAGAGAATATCTTATTTATGTGTCTATGTAATAAAATGTATCAACTCAATTTCCTTTTCTAACCAACGCCTACCTAAAAGAGAACTAGATCTGATACTGTTTCAGAAATATACAGATCTTAAAAAAATATGTGCTTCTAAACTTTTGAGTGTAATGAGTTGTTCTTTTCCAGGTTGATTGAAATTGATTTGGCAGTAAGCATGCCTTTTCCTCAGTTACAAACATTTTTAAATTTTTCAAATGAGAGTAGAAGAGCAGATATTTGGCAGGGAAGTATCCCGTCAGTGTTAGAGCACTGATGGTATCCACTTTATCGCAGAAAACACTAAAAATGAAATAAAGATGTTACTTTCATGGTTCACTGGTATTGCACATACTGGCAGGAGAAACAGGCAAGTAGTACATCGCCTGTCACCACCATGCACCCAACCATAGGCTTGTTAGCAATTTTGCTGTGGCTTATGTTGGCCATTTCTGGGCTGTGGCGCTATTAGAAGAGACGTGATGTGGTATAAGCTCGAGGGGAAGAAGGAGTGTATGACACTCAAGCTATCGCAAACTTATTATATTAGCCAAATGGAGATATTAACACATTTCAATTACTTGGTGCTCACAGAGTACACAATCAGCAGAAGTAAGGAGGAAAAATGGGATGGTGAAATATATTTCTGCCTAACTTTCATTTGAAAGTATTTTCAGGAGCACTATTACAAGCCAAAAGATATATATCAAAATTATACAAATCAAATGTAATGACATCAGCTACTGTTCCAAGAAAGTGGAAGAATTTCAGACTCTTTTTAAAAGAGAAATGCTAGAACTTTGAAAGTTCTGATCATAAAATAAGACCAGCTCTTGGGGAGGTATAGAACACTCAAAATTTCTATCTAAGAGACAATGAATGTTTGGAAAATAACTAAGTACATGGAGTTGGGCCCTTCTTGAGAAGCTGTCAATCACTCAGCTACTAAAGAATTTCCCAACATTTTATGGAACCTGAATGTTCATCACTGTATTCATAATAGCCCCCCAGTAGTCCCTGTTCTGAACCAGATCAGTCCAGTCCATTCTATTTCTTTAAGATCCACTTTAATATTATCCTCTCACATACATCTAGGTCTTCCTAGTGGTCTCTTTCCTAGTCACTGAATGATAATGATAGAAAAATACCTTATCACTGGCTGTACTGTGGAATGTTTTACGCTATTAATGGACAGTTGACCATTCAATTCACCTAAAGTCTTAGACTACAATTCATATCAATTCTAGGCTTTAAAACTTTAAACACTATGGATTCTAAAGGGTTCTGATGATGGTGTATAACACAGAATTACTGGGTTTATGGACTTTTTCCATCATCCAATATTCTAGAAAATAGAAAGCTCTTAATTTCGGAAACTGGATCTGCTTTCATCCTCATGTGAGGGGCAAGGACACCTAGTCAGTTGGGCCTCTTATAAAGAGCTAATCTCAATCACTGGACAGCCCCTGCCTATGGAAAATATCTAGCTACTGCTTAGTAGTAACTATTGAAATCATATGGATGATATTTTGATTCTCTTCCGAAAACTGAACTTTCCATTGTTTATTTACATGAAGAATTTTTACTAAGTAATAACTGAGGCCTAAAATATTTTATTGCTTCAGATTTGAGTATGGCACTAGCAGGAATCATAAAGTTATGTGCCACCTTATTAACGATTTTAACAAAAATGTAATTTGTCAAGAGGACCTTTGCTGGTCTGCAGAGGGTCCATAATTAACCAATGCAAAATGTGAATTCATAAGAGACTTACTATCATGATTACTATGTTGTCATTAATGACAACTAACAAAAAAGTTGTTCAAAATGTAGAAAACAGTCCAAATTTCTTGACTCTGTGATAGATGTACAAGGTGAAATAAAAACAAGGCGAGCTCAGAAGTTGCTAACCATTTTTTTAGAATACATGTTTCTTTCCTTTTTTTCTCAGCATAATTAATTTTAGCTCAAACTTGCATAGTTGTCTTAGAAAGGGTATGTATGCAATTTATATACTTTTCATTACCTCCTTCTGCCACAGGATTTGGCTAACACTTCTGAAAAATTCACGTTCTGCCACTATATCTCATGTTACTTTACAAAGAGTTCAGAAAACATTTTGACTTCTGTGAGAAATCATTATTTCAACTTGTAAATATAATGTTTTTGTTCAGCTGCTTGATGCCATGCAGGAGCTGATTGACAATGCACTTGGGGTCAGTCCAGGCAGGGTTGAAAACTGGAAGCAGGTCAGTGACCAAGAAACACATGTTAAACAGGTATTCAGTTCACCCTTTTATGTATGATTTGTGACTGGGATAAGTGTTCATATTATGTAACCTCAATATATGGACAAATTCAGAGATTTGATTCTTCTTCATATAGTATCAACTGGCAGGATCATTGTGAATGTTAAATTGTAAATGATATCCTGTAGGATTTTTAGTCTTTTTATGTGAATTTTGAAATAATACTTTTTTTTAATAAACAATCACTGTGTTCTTTGCAGTATTTTAAATTTCACCATGTATTACTATCCTACTATATTTGACACATAAGTAATACCTGCATGTGATATGGAAATGTTAAATAATCCACAAGAAAAATAATATGCAGGTTCGAAATGATTTTCGGATGGAGCAACAATTTGATTTGGACAGAGCTTCGTATTTGATATTACGTAACATTGAGGAGAATATGCAGCTGAGTGGCCTGAATGAAGTGCACTATATGAAGAAGTTTGATGCCTTTGTTCTGTGTCTCTGGAGTCTGTTGCCTCTTCCCACACCTTCAGTTCCATTATCAAAGATGGAGAGGTGAGTGTGACGTGTGCATCTGTGTTAATCCACTTATCCCCAACACCACTTATGAGTTGTTAACACTGAAAGGCAGCTCACCTGTTTTTTTTTTGTTTTTTTTTAGAAGTATGGTTGTTTTAAACACAATTTTATTATGCAGTTTAAATCTCTTACTGGGCACTATGCTACAAGCTGGAAGGTCGCGGTTCAAGTCCCAATGAGGTCATTAGATTTTTTCAGTTGACCTAATCCTTCCAGCCGCACTATGGCCCTGGGGTCGACTCAGCCTCTAACAGAAATGAATACCAGGAATTAATTAAATAATTGTCCTGGGGAGTAAAGCGCGGCCAGCGCGTAAGGCTGACAACCTTATGTGTGACCTCAAAGTTATCCATCCTCTTGTCCTGCCGTTAAAGTGTCTTTGTGCAGGTTATTCTTCTGATGAATTTCTTAACCCATTTGATTGCTGTTTTACATGCTATTGGTTTCGGCTCCCAGTATACAGTCTTGGGATAGACCCCACAAAAGACACCGCCTACACATTTTTGTTGTGCACTTAACTGTTGCTATGATCACATAATGGTTACCGGTCATCAGGTAATGTCGAATGCTGGCTTGAAAACGTCATCGCATGTTTACCATGCCGTAACTTGGCAATGGATGTCTCTCCTCGCTCCAGAATTCTGGCTTTGAGCTTCATGTCACAATTTGTTGGTGGGGTATACAGACATGCTCAGACAGGTCTTTTCTTCCATAGAGTTGCACACACTGGGTACAATGACCCATTATTCGGAAAGTGGGTCAACTGTGGGTGTAATTATTGGGTCAGCGAACAGAGTTGATATGTTGTAGTTTGGAAGCTGCTTGGACTTTATGCAGATTGATTTTTCCCCATCTGCCAAAGTTTTGATGACGGGATATATTATGTGCCAGTGGATAGCGTGAAGCTACTTGTATGTGTCCATCTGTAGGTATAAGTTTGACTTGTCCTATATCATGCATAATGATCCACAGATATGAAGTAAATGAAAAATAAATGGTGGAATACTGCCAGGGGAAAAATAGACAATGTGAAACCATAATGTCAAGGAAGTGTTTTAGTGGTCTATTTCTAGTTCAGTGGAATTGACAATTGCTGTGTATGCTAAATTGATGGACTATCATCAAAATATAACACAGCTGAAAATCCAAGTTACGTATTGTATTATGAGTATCTATTTTAATTCGCTGATATTTAAACACCTTATTCTGTTTTCCAGGCCCCCTCTTGCATTCAACTTTGTTGATGTTGGTGTCACTGTTAATCTGCCAGACAGTCTGCTTGATGTTCTGCTGGTTGTCAGAGCAATGCTGGTCAAGTATGACCACTTCTCAGACCTCTGCCCATCATGGGTACCTAATCCATTGCCTGAAGAAGAACAAAAAGGTACAGTCCCAATACATCCTCTCAAAAATCAAGAAATGAAGACAGTTTATTGCTATACTCCCTTTAGCAGAGAATTGGGAAAATTACTTGAGGCATTTCATAGTCTGTACTCACCACACATTGGTTTATGATTAAGTCAAAATAGATGAACTAAGTGGGACATGAAGAAAACGAGAGGTATATGCAGTATTTTTATTGTTGTACTTATGACAGCAGACCACTCAGGAGCCCAAGGTTTAGACTTATAGATCCACATTAGAACACTAGTTTGCAAAAATACAGAAAAAATTGAACTAAATTTGAATATGGTGCAGTGGTAGGATTTTCTAATGGTGGTGAAACCTTCAGTTTCAATAACAAAACAGTATGAAATTTCTTCATAATATGAGTAATTATGGACTATTAAAGAAGATTCTAAACCACAAGGGCAGGCAGGGTGTAGAAGAAAATCAACTTTGAGGTTTCTTAGGAGAGCATTTATTTTCAACACAAGACAGAAAATTTTTAGCTGGAGGAAGTTCAAGACTGATATTATTGATTTGGGATGGTTGAAATTGAACGTTAATCAAGGAATGTTAGGTGGAGGATTATTAAAAGTATGTTCCACTTTATATGCTTCGGGTTACAGATTTTCTTTCCAAATTGTTCTTTGTTCAGATCTGTATGAGATGTCATTGGTGGAGTGGAATACAAAATGTGAAATTCAAGTTCTGGTGGACAGAGAGAATGATCGCAGAGCTAAGCTGGCTGCAAAGATAGCTGAGCTGAAGCCAGCATTACCTGCCACAGATGACACTCGACATACCAAAAGTGTTTCTAAAGATGGAAGACCAACATCACAAACCTCATTACTAGAGTCAGAGCTGCTTGAGTTGCAGCAAATTCAGCAGACACCTATAAAAACAGCATCTGAAATATATGCAGAACAGGAAGGTAAGATAGTTTGGTAATGCAGTGACCTAGGTTACTGAAATACCTTCCATAGTCCAGTTTCCTGTTGATGCCCTGAAACTGTTTTTGTATAGCCTGTAGTTCAATGTTTGTGTCAAAAGATATCAGAACTATACAAAACATCTGATTCTCCTTTGCTTCTGGGCACAAATATGATCACTTGTTTACATAAGTCCTTATAGTACTAGTCAGTCTGAAAGCACTTCAACTGCATAGCTATTCATGCCTCAGTCTTTGTAATTTATTTATATTGAGGTGGGCTATAATAGTGAAGGATGCAGCAAATACGATAGTAGACATATTTTATACTGACATTTTGAGCTCAAGGTGAGATCAATATGAGAAATTGCAGAAGCACTGAGAAACAATGCAAGAAGAGGAATTTTCCCTACTGTGACAATTTCTCACTAATCAGAATTTATATACCTAGCAGGATTTGCTAACGATGTTGCTTGTTCATGGAGAGGGAACAGACAGAGAGAGAGTGACATTAGTTGACAAGTTGATTTATGCTAACGTCCTGACGGACTTGGTAAATTGTGTGCCACTGATGAAAACGAAAGTAGTTGCCTGAAAACTGTTGACATTTGGGACTGAAAGAGATCATTTGAAGGAGTATTTGGAGTATAACACACACAGTCACAGGAGCAAGACACAACACAAAGCACAATACACACACGAAAGTAGGAAGAATACTCCGATAGAAGAAGATAGGTGTGACTCGCGTATTGAGATACGACATAAGGATGACAAATCCTGAACAGTTTTAATATTTTTAATATTTAAAATTTATCAATATATATGATGAATATATATTTTAGTATAAAGACAACAGGGCATGCAATGAAGTAGTTTGACGTACATCGAAAAGCACCTGAAGATGGCACTTTTGTGCTGAAACATGTAGTGCAAGAGAGAAGAGTAAGGTGAATAAATGTATGCACTGTAAGACAGATAGAATAAATCCTGGATCATTTGAACTGAGATAGAGATATTTTTCATGATTCAATCTCTGAAATTTGTCTTACATGTGCCTAGTAAATAGCTGTAAGATGGAAATCAGATGGCACCTGCAGTTTGTTGTTGATGAAAACCCCATTATTCACAAAATACAAGTAAGAAGGAAAACAGATTACTTCTTTTGAGTGTAATGAAGCATCAACAGTGATGGGCATACTCTGACTATCAAAATGAAACAGCTTAATGTTTTAAGCAGTTTCATTTTTAACTGTAAGAAAGAAAATTACTTAACTCTTCATGGAGGGTTTCTTAGCATGATGAAATCAAGGTACAGAACAGAATAACAGGCTTGCATTCAAGAAAGGAACATAAAGTGCAGACAGATTTTTCTGGGATAACTCGAGGGAAGAGAGTACCTAGGTATGGATGAGTGTGTAATATTTAAAATGATTTTTAAAGCAATATCGTGTTGAGCTGAGAATTTGATTTAACTGGCTTAGGTTAGGATTCATTGGGCTCTGATGAACCTTTTTGTTCTGTAATGAAAGGGAGCTTCTTGAATGTCTAACTTATTGCAATTTCATAAAATTAATATAGATAATGCTTTTTTCTTCAGATGAAAAACAAGCTACAGTGAAATTACAGTACTGTGTTGAGCTAAAACCATATGAACTTAATCTGCGCAAATACATGATCCTGGGTGGAGTGTACCACATAGACCTCCTTCAGCAACCCCCTCAGCCTCAAGAACTGCATGATAAGTCCACCATCACTGTCCGTAAGTAAATCATATTGCCGTATTTTGTCAAGTACTCCACCCCCATGAATAATAATGCAAATAATTTTTTAACAGTAAAAAGTAAAAACAGATTTATGTTAAAGAAAGCAGTCTTCTGGGATTTGGCACCACATATACACGGTGCCAAATCCCAGAAGACTGCTTTCTTCATAGTCACCGCTGTGAAAGCCTCAAATCTTGCACAGATTTATGTTGTTTATTGAACTGTTAAAGTATACATGCCAAGTGTAAATGTATGTAATTCGCAGTTTCTTGAAGTTAGAACATGATGTTCTTCATTTATTACTGCTATTTAGCCTTCTGCTTTCCAGGCTCTTATGTCCTGCAACATGAAAATTTGCCCATTAACTTACAAACTATGTTCTTAGATCACTACTGAAATACAACTTCCCCCAAAAAGCTACACATGATCAAGATCAAAATATACTGGCAGTATCTGTTGTCCATGTTTTCATTGCCATCATTGAATTGAATTTAATTTATTTACATTCTATAAATCCTAAGCAGGTTAGTACCTTTGGATACAGAACATGTCAAAAGGTTACATACATAAGTACAGGCAATTTTAGTTTAAAAATTAATATAACTTAATTTTACATCATTCTCTATTTACATTGAAGTATTCATCTAAAGAGTAGAAGGAATGAGCATGTAGATAATTCTTTAACTCTGATTTAAACTTTTTAGTATCATTGCCCAAGTTTTTAATACTTTGTGGCAGATTGTTGAACACTTTTATGCCAGTAAAGTAGACTCCTTTTTGATATACTGATAAAGTTGATGAGGGTAGGTGGAAGTTATATTTTTGTCTAGTATTCATGTTATAGACATCAGAATTTAATTTGAATTTATCTTTGTTGTAAACAACAAATAAGAGAAGCGATAATATGTATTGCGATTGAAGAGGTAGAATTTTTAATTTCTTAAATAATTCTCTACATGAATCTCTACTTCTACATCCTGTAATGATTCTAATTATATTCTTTTGTATTTTAAAAATTATTACACTATGTGAAGAGTTCCCCCAAAATATTAATCCATAGTTCATAATAGAATGAAAGTAGGCATGGTAAACCATCTTCAATGTTTCCTGTGACATAAAAGGCTTAATTGATCTCATCGCATAGCAAGCTGCATTTAATTTAGGTATAATTTGTTCAATATGTATTTTCCAAGACAGTGTACTGTCTACATGTATTCCAAGGAATTTTGTATCAAGTACTTTACAGATTAATTTGTTGGCATAACTGATGTCCAGATCAATTTGGTGGTTGTTTTTAGTTGTGAATGATATGTAATGGGTTTTATCAAAATTTAATGAGAGTAAATTGGCTTCGAACCATCTGTTTAAGGCTTCAAATACAATATTTATGTCATTTTTAAAGTTTTCAAATTTAGAGTTCTTAAATATTATACTAGTGTCATCTGCATATAGAATTGGTTTAGATTTATTGTTGATGGTTTTAGATAGATCATTTATGTAGAGAAGAAAAAGTAAGGGACCTAAAATTGATCCTTGTGGAACACCGTGCTTTATAATTCCCCAGTTTGAAAATGCATTATGACTGGAGTTTTTATTATTTATTTCAACTCTTTGATACCTGTTTTTGAGGTATGATTTGATCCATTCATTAGCTTTGCCAGTTATTCCATAGAAATTTAATTTCGATAGTAAGATATCATGATTAACACAATCGAAAGCTTTTGCTAGATCACAGAAAATCCCTCCCACAATTAATCTGTCATTGAGAGCACTTAAAATATCGTTAGTTAGTTCATAGGTTGCTTTTTCTGTTGTTAGGTCTTTCCTAAATCCAAATTGCTCTTTGACTAATATGTTGTTAGAATTTAAGTGTTCAAGTAGTCTATTATACATAACTTTTTCAAAGACTTTTGAGAATGAAGTCAATATGGATATTGGTCTGTAATTAGAGATGCATTTTCTCTCTCCTTTTTTAAAAAGTGGTTTCATTACAGCGTATTTTAAGCGTTGAGGAAAAGTACCTGATGATAAAGATTTATTACATAGATGATTCAAGGGTGAACTGATGTAAACAGAGCTTGCTTTAAGTAATTTGGTAGAGATTTCATCATATCCATGTGAATTTTTGGGCTTAAGGGATTTAATAATGTTTTCAATTTCCTTCCTTGTTGAGAATTTGAGATTTATATTTGGAAATGAATTGTTAAAGGCACGTGACAGATAGTATATTGGATTATTATTATTATTATTGGAATATGTTTTCTCAGCTAATGAAAGGAAATATTCATTAAATGCACTTGCGATAGCTTGTGGATTGTTAGTGGACTTCCCTTCAATATTCAAACTTTGTACGTCTTCATTAACAGATTTCTTTCCTGATTCAACTTTCACAATATCCCAGGTGGTTTTAATTTTATTGTTTGATTTTAGAATTTGGCTGTTATAGTTATTCTGTTTGGCTTCTTTAATGACTTTTGACAAAATTTTACAGTACATTTTGTAGTGACTTTTTAGTCTTGGATCATTACTGTCCCTACTGGCCAAATATAGTTGTCTTTTGTGTTCACATGAAGTTTTTATTCCAATTGTTATCCAGGAGGATTTGTTTTTATTTTCATTTTTGACTATTTTTAAGGGAAAGCTTGAATAAAAGATCCTCAAGTATGTGTTCAGAAAGCAATTAAAGCTAAGCTCACCAAGACTGCTTCCTATTAAGTGGTTATACTATGTTCAGTTAAGTTCATGACAAATGACACACGCCTTAAAGCTAATTTCAACTGACATGGAAGAAATGCATGTCCACATATTTTTTATTCTCATATGGCCACCAGTTATTTTCATTTCTGTTAAGTAAATTTTGTTGAAAAATTCCCAGTTTAAAGACAAATTTCTTCATACTTTCAGTAAAGTCATTGATTATTTTTATGCAGCCTGTGCTTCATTGCTACAACCCTTCACGTTTGTTTCTTGCAAAATGAGTACCACAACAAATTGTTGGATGAAAATTCTCTTCACTTATTTCTGGAAGAATATGTAGTTTGCACGTTCTCGTACCCTAAACTACCATAAATTGTCATAAAGATTTGCCTTAAATTGTAAATTCATAACAGTATTCTTTACATGATTGGGGCACATGGTAGTGTGGTTGGTTAAGGCACTATGCTACAAGCTGGAAGGTCATGGGATCGAATGCTGATGAGGTGGATTTTTTCAATTTACCTAATCCTTCCAGCCGCACTATGGCCCTGGGGTCGACTCAACGTCTAACAGAAATGAGTACCAGGAATATTCCTGAGGGGTAAATGGCAGCCAGCACGTAAGACTGACAACCTTACCGCCATCTGTGAGCTGATTGTCTAGAAAATGTGGGAACCTTAACATCTCACAACCCTGTTACAAGGATACCTTTACTTTTTTTACTTTTATTCTTTACATAATTTTTCTGCACATAGATATTACACGTTTTTGAGTTATGTAGCAACAGAACATCTTTCTAACCCTTAGTTACAGCCACAAGAAAATTTTTTATTGAGAGCCATGATCTAAAATGAACAGATCTAAGAGAACTCATGGATGATTCTGCTACACACATGGGATATAATCTGTTATCGAGATTATTTTACTGTACCACATCATTTATGTTTACTTTGGTAGTGTTCTTCTTGTTGGGATGGTGCACAGCAGCAATTTTCTGCTGCCCTTCGTGATTCACAACATTATGGTGCACCACTGTTTCTCATTGCCATCAATTATTGCTATAAGACTCTTATCTTTATTGTTCATGAGTGTATCAAGAGTAAATTCAAAATACATGGACGTTTTGATCAGGGTTACCAGTTTAGGAAAGAATGTTTGAGTGCTGCTGCAGATTGATGACACATTGTGGCATGTTGACCAGTTGCTGGGCAGTTAACCATGAAAGAAGCAACTATGCAACAGCTGTTGCTGAGTAATGACTTCACAGAGAAGCATGTTTCTACGGCAGCAATTAGATACAACAACAATTCAAATTGGCGTTTTCTACACAGTCCATGCTTAGATGTTATAACCAGATCAAGTCTAGAGATGGTTATCTGGTTGTGACCCTCATGGGGCTTGGCGCCAAGACGAACTGATTGGCGGTGCCATTTACTTTGGATTAATATTCTACAGATTTGAATGGGGGGGGGGGATCCACTAAATTCCTCTCCTTTGTACTTGTTCTTTCTCAGTGCTTAGCCTACTTTTCCTCTGTTAAGGAGCCTTATGAGATCACAAAAAGTTGTGTGAGTGGGTGTGTGTTCAAGCATGCGTGTGTCCATATGTACTTGTATGTGTAGGGAGATTGCATGTGTGCATGTTCATATGTCTGTCTGTATCTCTATGTCAGTGTAGCCCCCATTTCAACTATTTTCACGAAGCTTGATGGTGTTATTATGATATGAACATGTGAGCTAGAAGTGACAGTAGCGCAACTTACTCTAGAGCCACAAAATGATGTATGACAGCAGATATTCGAAAAATGCACATTTTTATTAAAGTAATTATTTTGTAGCAGCTGAATGAAATCTGTATTAGCTGCTGATGATAATAACTAATGAAGTGCTGGAGGTAGGAGTACAAAACATAGTATTGAGATAGACTGTAAACATACCTACAATTTATGTGTGACATCATCATAGTCATCTTTCACTCTCAGGCCCACAGAAACCTTTTATGGACGTTACATACAAAAGCCTGTCTTTCCTTCAGAGTTCTACCCAAATTTTCTTTTCATTTTTATTGGTATTTTTGTGGAATATGTTGCTCTCTCATAGTTTATTCATTTATTCAGTGATAAAAAGGAATGTATTACAAAGTCCTCCTAATGAAAAGCTTATCTGTTAATAATATTTTATATCAGTTCTTCTTGTTCACTAAGATAAGATATCTTTGGTCCAGTAAGTGTCTTGTATGTATTAGAATCTGATTTATATTTCCTACAGCACTGGTCATTTTACATTCAAATCCTCTTCTT